TCTCTCTCTCTCTCTCTCTCTCTCTCTCTCTCTCTTTGTTTCTTTTGGCTTTATTATTTTTTTCTTTCTTTCGTTTCTTCTCCTCCCGTCTTTTTCTCTCAGTTCACTCGTAGGTACGAGCGAAGCGCCAGTGGCGCCAACCGACGGCAGCCGATGGTACTCGTACACCTCGGCAAATAAATGTCTCCGTTCTGTGACAGGAAACCGGTTGCTCGACGCCACGAGTGGCCAGCGTGTCCGTGCAGCTGGAACAGGACAGTAACAAATCGGAACAGCTGGAAAGGGCGCCTCGGTGCAGCGTGCGGAGCTGCCGCCAGCCAAGAAAGGGCAAGACCAGAGTGACGGCGCCAGCCCTGCTGGTCCAGAATCTCCTGGAGACGCTCTAGTCGAACGACATCGGGCATCGCGCCCGGCTGGCAGGATTCAAGGGGGAACGAATCGAGCGAGAAGGGGAAACCGGAAGCGGATTCAAGAGAAGCTTAATGATAATGATAAGAGTGCGGTAGGCTTTTATATCGGTCCGAGGTACCGCGGAGAGGGTGCGAATTCTCTTTTCGTTGCTCGAGAAAAAGAGAAATAGAATTTAAGGGTGTGTCTTGTTCCGAAGGTAATTTTTTGTTACACTTTTTTTTTTCTTTCACGACCTATGCTGTCCCAATTGACGTTTGTAACGTTGCGCAAAATTAATGTATGGTACTGGAGGTATTTTCAAAAACGAAAAAAAAAAAAAAGAGTGCAAAGCGCCCCCAATAACTTTGCGTTTATTTTAAATATTGTTTATACGTCCTCACGGTGAGCTTTGATTTGCGCGCGCAAGGCAACCGGAAGTAATGAAAATACACCTACCAGTGCGTATTTCGGTGTGTACATATATGTGCGTTAGATTAGAGTTAAAGGGGTGGATCCTTAAAGTCTCATATATATATATATATATAGTGTAGGGTAAAAGGTCGAGAGGATTTGTCTTCTCTCTCTTTTACTCGTTCCTCCTTCTTATACGGAATAAAAGAGGGGCTGAGGATATAAGGGTAGAGGGTTGGCTCAGGGGTGCTTGCGTGGCATCGTAAGGATCTCCCCCTCTTATTTGATTCGAATTTCCCACTAGAAAGTCCTCTAGCGTTTTCGGCAGTAAGGGTACACAGGAAAAGAGAGCGGACCAAGGTCGAGAGTTTTCTTGAGTTTTTTCGTTTTTCGTATCGTCACTGTGTGAACGGTACTTTAATATGGCCGACAATTTAGCTAGGATGGCGTGCGTGATGACGTCGATGAAGCGGACGAATCAAAAGAAAGAATGTGGGTTTTAAGGGTTAAGGGTTGACGATTTGATAAATGTTATTCGAAGGGTGCGTGATTGAAGAAAAAGAAAAAAAGAAAAAAAGATAATTAAAGGGTCCTGTAAATATTCACTATTATCTTTATATGCCCCAGTAAACTCGGCAAATCTTCAATTACGTTAAACTGCCGGCTGAAAGTGGCCGAGCGACGGTACGTTGATGCTCGACGCTTTTTCTTTTTTACCGCGTACGATTGGATCATTGCGTCGGGTTTTCTTTTTATTCTATTCCTTGCTCTTCTTTATCTTCTTTTTTTTAATACGTAACAAACATATCCTCACTTTTAATGAAAAGTCGCGACGGATCATTCGAGCACTACGGGTCGTTCCTCCTTTGCTTTGGTGTATGTATCGGATATTATTTTATATACGTAGTTTAATTAAGAATCATAATAAAAGAAGATTGCTCTTTCTCTTTTTTTCAAGATCTAAGAGAAAAAAAGAAAACCTTGTCGTACCATCCCCGGATCAGATATACCTATTAAATATTGAACCGTGTAAATATATTTTTCCTATTAAACGGAAAGCAACATAGCTCACTATACTTATATATTAATATTATTATATATATATATATATTCAGGGTTTTATCCAGCTGGATTTAACAGCTGTTTCTCGATCGATTGGAACTGGATAACACGCTGCACGTGTATGTGTATATATATAGACATGGCCGAAAAACGTCGCGGATACAGAAAAACGCAATTATTTTTTTCGTCAAAAAAAAAAAAGGTTGCCCTGAGCGACAATGATAACTGATCTCGAATCCGCGCGTTTCTCATATAATTAGCTTATAATTAATTGATAGGACTTTGTCGATAATGAAATGGTAGATATACACGGTGCCAAGGTAAATGAGAACTCTATTAAGAATTTTTTGTACAAAAGCACGGAGGTAACGACGAAGGCGCGACGACGCTGGTAAAGGACGCCGGGCGTCGTTCGGTTAACCTTAAACGGTCGGGTGGGGGGTACGACGAATGTTCCCAACTAAAGAAGAGCATAAAGAAAAGTATACCTAAAAAAAATAAGGAGAGAGAGAGTTTGTTGTACCAGGGGAGTGAAGTGGGAGTGGGAAAATAAAAATTTGAGAATTTCTTCGGTTAGTCATTATTTCTCGTAGAAAACTGATGAACGTGAGGAGACGGGATGATTGGGAAAAAAAAAAGAAAAAAAAATACGTCTCGAAATTAAAGAAAAATTGAACTCGCGGATGTAAATTCTTGCGAAATAAGGAAACGGGGGGAAACGTGAGAAACGAAGGGAAAGGAAGTGGGACGTAAGAAAAGAGTGGGAGTCGAGGAAGTTGAAGCTCTGGTGAGTTTTACTTGGTCGAAGGTTTCAATTTAGCCTCTTCCTATGCATATTGAGCAGCCACTCGGTGGTAGCCACGAAAACTTAAGCTCGTTCAAACTCACCGGTCCTCCTCTTCTGAACCTTCTACCTTCAACCTTCGCGAGGTACCTCACGTTAAACTTCTAACGAGGTTTTATTGAATTGACTAACTAGTCGCGATCACGTGGTCGGTTCTTCGCAGACGAAATTAAAAGGTATCTTAACCCGCCTACCTTCTTACCTTCAACCTAACTTAACGCTAGCTGTATAAGAGGATTGCGATGGAGAAAATTAGGTTGTAGGACATTCTGCTGGCTGGCACGTGGTTCAAAATTGAAAACGAACCTGTACCTTTATTCTACCTACCTTGCCCTGCACACCCTGTATAACCACCTCAACCTTCCACCTTCCTAACCTTCCGTTACGCATCGAGTTCGCATCCAATAATGTTATTTGACAGAATTTAATAAAGCGAACTGACGGCTGGGTCAAAGTGGTCCAAGGATGATTGGGATGGGGCAAGCCTCTAAGATAGCCGAAGGTTGAAGGTAGAAGGTCGAAAGTTTCGAAGAGGGAGAAAGCAATGTGGACGCTTAAGTTAGTTTGCGTTTAAAGGGGCTTGCTGGAGAAGGGTGACGGAGAAAAAAGGAAATACGTCACGGGTCCGGATGCTGCAACTGCAACAGGATTAGTTAACTTGGCAAATACAATTTCGACGCGAGCAAAGATATTTACCTAGACGGATGAAAGTTCTCGAAAGGATATCCAGGAGGGATATACGTTCCTCCAGAATTACGGGCACCCTCGAGGCACGGAGTCCTCGCTGAATTAACCGGGCTTGTCTTCGCTCGCGAATATTGACTTTCGCCTCGTACATTCTTCCCTCTTTCTCCTTCCCTTTGTTTTCGCGTACCGTAACGCCGCGGGGAAACGTCATCGAAACTTTGGGATTCTATGTAAACGCGTACGAGCACTTGGAAACGAGTTTTCGAATTTGCGAACTATTGATAAGCTGGTGTACGTAGTATATATTCGCAATTCTCCGAGCCTAAAGTCATTTTAGTATCACGTGTCCTAGCAGCGGCCATTGCTCTTATTTACTTTTAATCCACGTGCAGAACTAACGGACTATGTCCCGCGAAGGTAGAAGTAGAAGTAGAAGGTGGACTATGTCCCGCGAACGTCCCCTGAACGTTAACGTCGCCCGGATTCATCTCATAGTACTTCCTATCGGTCTGCGCGACAGGTACAGTGCTAAGGGTAGTTTTCGATTCGGGTAAAATCGTTATCGATCGATTTTCGGATATTCGTAGCATTTCAATATTTCGCCTCGTTTCCAGTGCCCACGAAATTTCCCATTTTTCTCCTTCTCTCTGTATTGCCGGTCTTTTTATTTTTCGCTACTTAGTCTTTTTTTCTTTTGAAACCCCTTTTTTTATTTTAGTCTTCGTAAGTCTAAAAGGGTAGACGGAAGAATTCCTGCGGGAATTGCTGAGCTATGCTGCTTGATAAATTAAATTTGGCGACCGTAGCGAATTCATGGTACACGATTCATTGCGAATTAAAGTCCTTGCGTGGAAGTAGGTAAAGCCGAAGGAGGTCAGACATGACGACTCGAGTGACGAATGCGAGTACTGGTTTTAAAATAAATCGGCCAAGCCAGCGAGTAGTGCAGCTTTTTAGTATCTCCGTCTAGTGAGGATATTTTATCTCTTTTTTCAAGGAGACTTCAGTGGTTTATTTACAGAACGAAAGGGCGCGCTCTACTTGGCGCGTCAAAGGGCGAAAGGGTTAGGGTCGTCGCGGTCTTTTGGAATATCCAAAATTATACATATGTTACCACCTATGATTAGTGACAAAACTTGATTAGCATATAGCTAATATTATGTAGACCAGTTTGTACATTTAATTACGTTAACGTTATGGCCCATACTCATTGTGAATACAACAATTATTATAAATTATTATAATAAAATGTATGTTTCTATATACGTATAACGTGTGTCCCATCAACGCATTGCCAAATATTGTAGCAAATTATTATATTTATTATTAATTATCCATTTACCAAATTCCAATCATATTTTCCTCTTTATTCGCGTTACTAACAAATCAACCCTTGAACCATAAAAATCTGACAAGCGGATTTGTTCTACAGGGTTGTGTTATATGTGGTTGACAATGAATATGACAATTTTAAGCTAAAAAAAATAACAGTATATACAAGGGAACTCTGTAATAGACTTTTTTTGTATTATGGTTCGTTCACAACGGACTTTCTGGACGTACCACCTTGTCGCAATGCAGAATTTCGGTACGGTAAGTATCCAGTAATTCAGAAGCGTCATCGCTGCGGTTTAACACCCTGCGATTTAAATTGCCCCTTTCCGTGGTGCGTAGGGGGTGCATTTTCAAACTTGGATGCCAATTTCTCATGGGATAAATTTTTTTTTGTTTTTGGATCTACTTTAACCTCATTTAAAACTTTACACACAATGTCGGCCTTGTGCTGTAGGATTTTTGACATTTTTACGGTGTCTACTACTTTTTTCACATTCAACTTTTTCGTATCCCTTAAACCCACGTACTCTTTCAGTGGGTAGCAATATCTTTTACTTTATACCCTTAAAGTCAAGCTTACACCCTACTTCAAAGTTTCTTGATCCTCGTTCGGTCTGGTATACCTATAAAAAGATTTTTTGTTGGTCTTAGTCGTCGAACAAAGGGAATTTTGGCAAAGTAGATTTTAAGCAAACTGACGCTATCCACTTTATGACTATGATCTTCAGTGCTTTTTGTAAATCTTGGAATTACGTCCAAACACGACATAACGGTGAACAATTATTTTCCATATACCGTACCGATAGCAGAAACTACCTGAACGCATCAAAATCCAAATTATGGGATGAAAATTTGAATAACCGACAAAGACCCCTCAAAAACTTAAGTGACTTAAATATTCACCCTCGACGTCACTACGTCAGCCAATAAAGGCGATTCTCAAAAATGTCAAGTTATTCCTAGTACAGTAGGTAAGGCAGGTTATAGTCAGTATACCCCAGGATCACCAGAGCGAACGTCTCCCTGTCCATCCTCGCGTTTCTCGAACTTTAGCACTACGATGATCTTAATACATAATATACATATACATACCTATATACTCGTATACACCAATTTCTATGATTGATTAATCAACCAAGCAAATTCGCTATCGAATCCTCCTCCGTATTACCGAAAGGCTGGCTACGCGTATATATACAGATTGCCGCGGACAGCTGTCAGGACTCATTTACCGCGCGGGACTCCTGCGGAAAGCTGGTGACTTCCCAGGAGAGTGGTCGAAATAGGGAATCTAATACGGCCGGGTTTCCATTCGATTTTCCGTAACTCCGTTTGACGTAGGTGAGGCTGCGGTACATATCTCGAGTATTTCGAAGTGAGCGAATGGACCGACTGTAGGAAGGCAGAGGGGGTGGTGGTTGTTTGGAAAGTTTTCGCTACGTCGATTCTCAGAGTGTGTGACAGGATAGGGAGTTTCGGGAGACACGAGAATCCAGATAGAGAAGAGATCACAGCATCCCTTTGCATGAACTCTCAAGGGAGGAATGACACACTGGCGCATCCTCATGCACGAAAACGCTTCCGTCAAGGGAGACAACGCCCATCGTGTTGCGGATCAGTTTGATTTACGTTCCGCGGCTGGTGGGTATCACGTTTTCGATGGGAGGATTTTCACCGATAATGGCGACGGATCTGCATGATCTTGGCACCACGTGGGAATACGAATCCAGACATTATCCTCGTACCTAGTGCCAGCCACTGTTATGGTTGAACGGATCACCGTTATACCTGCACATTGGAATTCTACGTGATCGGGATCGGCCTTCTGTTGCAGGTTATACGTCGTTGATACTGGCCGATAAGAAAATGAGATAATGACACGCTCGCGTCATTCTATGGATGCACGTGGGACTGGTTAAAAATATTAGGATAGTAGAGAGAGTTTGGATAGTGATAATAGAGGAATATTATTATTATTTATCAAGAATTAACTAGGTGGAGCAGGGTGCTAGAAGTGATAAAAATGTCACGAGTACATTAAAATATATTATAGTCATTTTCAAGGGTGTCTGTTTCTCCATTTTTTATACGCCCTATATATCCCGACTTCATCCCCATTAGGGTAAACTAGACTAGGGTCAGGCATTGTACACGGGGGTATGTATCACGTGGTATAGCTACGTTGAGTAATGTTGACACTATAATCTATTTTATTAACGTAACGTCAGTACGTGTATCGAATACGCACAATAAACATAGGACGTCGTAGACGTTAGACCGTCTCTATTTTATCAAGGGTTGGAGCCCGCCGACCCCCCAAAGAAAAGCAGCACTTCCAACGGCGACCAGGGTGGGCTCTGTAGATACAGTCGGAGGAAGAGCGTCTGTTCCGGCATTCGAACGGTCGTCACGTGTGAGTCGTATGGAGTACGTGAAGAATTTTAAATGTGAAAATGCCCCCATCATCCCCTATCGGTGACTGTAGCTCGAGGGGATCACTGGTAACAGTGCTACCACCCGAGGGTTATAAATTTATCGAAAATGTCGAGCCGCTCGAAATTCCTCAAACTACCCCGAGTCATAATATCATATAGGGGTGGAAAAGTCGTTTACGATTTCCACGATCTCACTTTTATCGTCATCCCTTGCGCGAGTTCTCACGTAGCATATACAATTGCCGTCGCTGCCACGAGGACCCGGCAATGAGTCCATACGAAGTACGGGTGAGATAGACCTGGAGCGAGACACGTGTCGCTTGGTGAAGATGGATAAAATATTTTTACAGGGTAAAATTTAACCTAGTAAAATCATCCCCCGTAAATACGGTTGATCGGGTTGGGGACGTAAAATTTGTACCCTTAAAAGTATCGTTCGCCTTCTTAAACTTCGTGACGTAAAAAGCACCCGGCAATACGCTTGAAGATTTTCTAACCCCTTTCTCGTGTGGCATCCATTGTTCATTTTTCTTCTCTATCCTCACCGGATAAAACGGAAGCTGGAGAAGCGAGCTCTGCTCCAAGATAAATATTATTGTCACCGAGTTCAGGATCGCGAGCTTATTGCAAGCTCCGGGACGGCAATGACAGAGATGACTCTCGGGTACATGGGACCAAGATAGGAAGGGATGAACTACTTGCTGGACCATTCTCTATGTCTATACTGTATACTCCATACCAGACGTACAAGCTTCCATTGCGACCATCACGCCTCCACGTAATTAAACTTCCTGCCTCCGGGACCTCTGCTGGTCCCATCCAAACATTCTGGTTCAGCCAGCATCCTTCGAGATCTTCCAACTATCCTGCAAGGGGGCGAACCAAGGTAGGAACTCATAGGGAGGCGAGTGTTATTCTTCTGTGACTTGCCGCTAGGGTGGCCAAGGGGGATGACAATGGAGCTTTTTTTTTAATTTTACTCACTCCTGCCTTATTATTGGTATTATTGCCGAGATTATTATTCTTATTATTAGCTGGTTAATGGAGGGATTTTTTTTTTTTAATGTGCTCGAAGTTTTTTTGGAAAAAGGAGTCAAATATCATTTACGATGGGATTATCGTCGTTATAATGTTTTAAATGAATTTTCGTAACTCGATAAATTTTTAGCTATTTGGGTAATTTTTCTTTTACTTTATTTTGATCATTTAGTTTAGGCTATTGCTCGTTTCTCGTTTTCCGCCTTACTGGGGAAACTTTTTCACGAGTCACTTCGGAGCTTCGATTGAATCGACATATTTATGTAGAATATGAAGGAGGTGCCTGGTGATCCCTGTTCTTGTCCTATGTTATTAATGCAAGCGGTTAGGTCTACTGAAGTTCGTTTGTATTGTATTAAAATGATAGGTTTGCGAAACCAGGAGAAACGTAACTTAACGAAGTCAAACTACAGTCCGTACTCCCTAATTATATTTACCGTTCGAAACGAAAAGTATGGTTGACGTACGTGAATAAAAAAAAAAAGTGAAAAAGTATCGCGATGAAAATTTTTTGTAAAAAATAGTAAAAAAAAAATTGGGCGAAAGAACGACAGCAGTAGCGGTAACAGCAAAGGACGAAGTATATCTGATCCCTAAGTAAAGAAAGAGCCAAGGGTTGGGAAGTGACGGAAAGAAGAAGAGGAAGGAAGAGTGGGTGGAGAAAAAAGATAAAAATAGAAAAGAATGAAATCCGAGAGAAGGCTTCACAGACAATTACTTCACTCGAGCAAATTGAGTCTCCTGGTGGGCAAAAAGGACCTTTTGCCGTTCAGTCAGCCATTTTCATCTGGGAATAAAGGATTCCGTCTGGCGTAAGTCGTCCTCGGTGGGTTTGGCTTAAATCATAACCGGACGCATGTCCGGAAGTGCTTCCGGTTGGTTAAACTCGGTAAGAAATTGTACAATTTCCGTAAGGCGAATAGCCCGGCTTAGTCCTTTGAAAGGTTGAAGAAAAAAATGTATTTTCCTTAAAAGAAATTAATTTCTTATTTAACAACGCGGCGAGTTCCTCGTGACTTCAATTTCCCTGGCGAAACCCGGCACAGTTGGTACCACTGTTCGGAAGGGTCACACTGGCGAATCGCATAGGTGTACTATTACCTTTATCCAATTCACTATACTCGTTTCTATACCCGCTACACTTTGTTACGATAAAGCTCCGCTGACACTCTAAAGCTTCGCGCTTTACACGCCAGGGGCGCTGATCGTTCTTTTTTCTCCTTACAGTTAACAGTCTATACAATCGGAATGCTTAAACACGGAAATTGAATATTACCAATTGAATTTTCATTCGAGCCAATTCGGCGTGTGTCGTCGGACGGATCGTTTTTAAAAGAGCACCGGGTATATATAGCTTTTACGAATATCATCAGAATTGTATATGCTTGCACGAAGTACAAAAAGCTTTTTTAAAATGTAATAGAAGTAATTTTGAATCCATAATAAATACGCTCTAA